GAAATATACATGCCAACCAGCACTATTTCTCCACCACCCACCTCAATCACCTTGTATACTCGGTCTAGGAGATTTAACTAAGTCCATAACCGAAAATGGATATGACCAGTGAGCTCGAGAGTTTACCGTGTCGACTCGCCCCAGCCACTTGTGCCACCAAAGCATTGTGAACGTGTCCAGTGCAAAATAAAAGTGTGATTGTGTGATATCCTCCCCAAAGTGAGCTGGTTAGACATGAATAATGCTTACGGTTTCATCCTAAATGCCCTCATTCACAATTTGCGATACAAGGCGCATATGGATCGGTCCAATAAAGCTTTATTTACATCCAGATATATTCTGGATATTATTTTGTCACTTTTATACAAGAGGTACGCAGTGAGGGTGCCTAGCGGTGGGATCTCCAAGGCTTTGAATTGGGATTCACTCTTGGACATCTCTTCGACCAATCTCATCCATCCCTCCTCTCCTGCGCCCCCTGGACAGTCGCAAGGTATGTAAAAAAGTTCTTCTGGACCAGAGGATCGTGTGCTGAGCTCTATTCTGCCAAAATTTCACGTCTCCACTGCTCCCCTTTGTGAAAAAAACCTATTTCGACGCGTTATCACGCGTTTCGCGCCTCGCAAACGTCACCAATCGATGGCCCGCCTTCAAAAACCCCCTCGCGTCCAACTTTGACGCGTTTTTTTCGTCATCTTTGTCGTTCCACAGGCCGGGTTTTTCACCCCTTGACCTAGGGCCACTCTGGGTGCATTCTGCAGCGAAACCACCGCGATTTTGGGCATCAGTGAGTGTCCCTTTTACTATTTCTGTCGCTCTAACTCGTTACCTTTTACTGCAGGCCTGACTACACCCTCTGCCTGGTCTCCTAAACTCGGCTCTGGATCCATTGCAAGAGGAAAGCCACCACTGCTCCCCTCTGTCGAGATGAAGATAGCCATCCCATGCCTGGCTCAGCAGTTACCCATTGTCACCGGCGCGGGGCTGTGATTGGACCTAGCTGGCGCTGGGATGGTCGGTGACATTGAACAACAAGATTCCGGCCAAGTCTTGTTGTCTAATGGATCCGCAGTTCTCGTCACCTAGATGAAGATAGCCACTCTAGTATCAGCGCTGCAGTAGTCTTTCGTTACCGACGCGGACGCTGTTGATGGACCTCGCTGGTGCTAGAGTCGGTCAGATGTCATCCAAATGATTGGGCCTCGGCCGGGTCACGTCGTTTGGATGCGCCTGCTGTTCTAGCTCAAGACCATCCTTCAAGACCTCTTTGCAAGGGATACTCGGTTCCCAGAGGGTGACGTACTGTTTCTGCACATGTGTGACTGACCGCTCGAGTATCTGATGAAACTAGATTCGAAATCAAATGTGCTCGTAAAGGTATGTAACTTTTTGTCCACTCGTGTCCTTCCTGATCCTTTGTCGAGAAGAGGCCGGTCGGTGTGCGCTCGTATCTACGCTCCTTTCGGTTTATAGGCCCACCCACCCTGCACGATCTGATCCTTTTTTGGAAGGACAGGTGGCTGTGTAGGGCTAAGGGGAGCGTACGCCGAAAATCAACCCTACAATTGCTGTACAAGAAAAAATTCTGCCTCGTAGAGACGTTCTGTAGTTCTAGTTATCCATGAATTTAATATATATACTCTTTCAAAAGTCATTTATCCTCTCGAGTGAAGTTCCCCATCAGCCAAAGTGTGCGCATGAGCTCTCGAGCACAGTTGTCTACCCTTTATTGGTGGGCTGGCAATAAAATATTTACATCACCACATTCTTGGCATCATCTCATGAATTTATATGATGAGAAATAAGTGATATCGTCTATTCACAACCGGTTGAGAAAAGGGGCCAGTCGAATATTACCCAGGGCGATCAGATTGTATATCTGGTAATGCTTTTATTGAGATTTTTTCACTATATAAACACTATTCCAAGCTATAGAATCGATTTACGTGTCTATTGCAAAACTCGTTATTGTCTATCCCTCTCATTTCTCGAAATCACAACGTCTGTAGATGAACTGGCTCGGTTTTACTGTTGTAAAGCTGTTCACCACTCAGATCATCATCAAGGTCCTTATCTTCAATACATATCTCATGGCGATACCATTGTGGAGGATATTCTCGGGCATATCATGAGCCGCTTGGGTCGTGCTCAGATTCTCATATCACAATATAACCGCTTCAAAACCTCCCGAGAGAGTTTGAACGGTGTATATATATCATTTCGATTCTATCTCGGACATGCCTAACAAGATTTCTTCATTTCTCGGTCAAATCTCAGTGACGATGGGATCACCGGCGGCCAGCTCGGGAATGCCCACCCGACGGGTGCGATGCGTACGATGGTTATCATTCATGTTGACAATTAATGTGTATACAGTGTATATAGGTCGCATATATCATGACAATACCATTGTAGAGGCTATTCTCAGGCATATCATGAGCCGCTTGGATCGTGCTCGGATTCTCATATCACAATATAGCCGCTTCAAAACCTCCCGAGAGAGTTTGAATAATATATATATATCAGTTTAATTCTATCTCGGACGTGCCTAACAAGATTTCTTCAATTTTCGGTCAAATCTCAGCGACAATGGGATCACCGGCCGCCTGCTCGGGAATGCCCATCCGATGGGCGACCATCTTGGATCCACCGGGGTTCTTATGCTGCCTAATATGGTCGATAACATTGATAATGCAATTTTAGTGTCGATACGACACCATCGGATGGTTGGAGTGAGTCGCTCGTGGGTGTCGGATGGTGGATGGTGGACATTGTCAAATTAGCATCGGTTGAAGAGAATTGAAAAGATTCACCGTAATACATGTATTTAAGTTGTCTCAGATCGGCGTGCGAGCCATGTGTCGGCAGTCGGGTGGGCGTCGGCTACTGGAAGTACAGTGTTAGTGTTATGCGCCTGGTTTAAGATAAAATGAGAGCAATGACCTTTTATTTTGGGTTCTTACTGTCTGTAAGGTGTGTCTTGGTGTCTCGTCGCTCTGCTGTTGGCGTGCTGCGTATGCGTCGGTGTTGCTGGTGGCTAAAGGAGGCGTCAGTTGTGCTGCAAGTACAGAATTAGTGTCGCATGCTCGGTACAAGAGAAAAAGAAATCACTCACCATTGATTTCGAGTTCCTCTTGGCGCGTCGTCCCGTCGTTGCTTGCTTGTGGAGGGGGCGGGCCGGTTCAAGGTAAGGACTTGGGCGAAATCAGCACGTCGGCCATTGGCTGGTGCCCATCTCTAGCCTGTCACCAGATTAGAATAGCATGTTTAGTATTTGTAAACACTATTGCTCACCCTACTTCACAAAATGGGCTGGCCAACGAGCGAGTCGTGCGCTCGAGTTGGCACAAAAGCCGCCCGTAGTACAGAAACGCGCGTTAGCAAGGAGAAAGAACGAAAATGAAATAACACACCTTTAACGTTATTTCATTCGTTTGCGTTCTTTGTTGGTGGCGTGCTTGCTTGTGGCGGGCGTTGACGAATGCAAAGGGAATGAATAAGTCCTTTGTATTGGCCTTCGACCCATCCACTCCCCCGCATCCGCTAACATGACCCCACGCCACGCTACAACTATGACGAACGGACACAAGGAGAGGTAAATTAAAGGTGAGTAAATTTATCCTCTCTCTTACCAGGCATGCACCGCCAACGTTGGACTTGTAGCTATCGACGCCCTCCTACGACACCGACACTTTGGCCGCTCGAGAGCGTCGTATCGACACGAACGCATCGCAAATCGAACGATTCGTCAAAGTGAGGGAGATAGAGACTTGGGTGAGGTTTCTTCTTGTTATTGTCGGGCTTGTGGCCACACGATGTATTCGCTAACAGTTCCCCTACCATTTCTTTATCTTCCGTAGCTTCTACCGCCCGCGCATCGACAGAGAACAAAGTACCAGGCTGTCCTGGATGTTCGTTCCCGTGTGGCGCGTCGTTCTCCACCCCACCTATTGCTCTTGTATACGGTCTTCAGCCCACGCCACCCGCCCCTCTACACACCAAATCAGCACAAAACCTCGATTAACAGATCTAATCGAGTATTTGGGTTGAATCTGGGGGCTATCGGGCTCGTATCGTGGATGGAACTCGAGGACGGCCTCTCGACTCGAGCGCCGTTGAACCTAGCCTAGCGACCGCAGAAACGACTGCTAGGCCCTTGAATTTACGCACAACACTCTAATCCAATCTCCCATTCCAAATTCCCATCATTTCTGCCACCCTGCCGCCTATATCTCTACCCGCCCGTCATCAGTTCGGTAGCGCTACTCAACCTTGACCCCTTCCCCATCCGACCTGCCTGATGCAAACGCCGAGCCACACCAAATGGAGGACGAACAAACGAGTAGAGAGAAGAGAGATCCATCAGGTAAGTCGCTCTCTTCTCTCTCCAGCCAAGTGTTCGTATACTGATTTGCTACTCGTAGTGGATGACCTCGCCCAATGACTTGCCCATCCCGGCTGCCCACAACAAATCCGTCGACGCAAATACGGCGTAAATGACTTGGAGAATTGGATGGAGGGTATCGAGAAACACAGTAAGTGTCCTTTTTGAGCATCTTGGACATTATAGCGCGCTACATTCGCTAACGACTCCCTCTCATTTTCTCGTCCTCCGTAGCTACCCCGCCCCTATCACCACCCAAACACGACTTTCCAGCTCTTATGGATATCCCTTACCATTTGCAGCGTTGTTTTCCACCCCGGCCCATTTGTCTTTCCCAATCCGTTTTGCCTTCTACCCCGCCAACCGCTCAACTGTTTCCCGTATGTCAAATCAACCCAAAACTCAAACAACATGCGATATTTGAGCTTACGGGTCGATTCTCGGGCTTTGAAGAGTGCCCATCGTCCAATCCACAATGACGACAGGCTACTCGTGCTACTTTTTGGACGACCTCGGCCTAGAATTCCGACAACGGGAATTGCAACAAACTATTATCAAGAATTTTCGCTATTTTCCCGGAAGGCTCAGGCTAGCTAAATGGGGGTTGGCCGCCTGCAGGTAGCGCTACTCAACCTCTCGACTCACCCCGAACGTCAAAGTCACACGATGCCAGTGACAAATGGGCAGGAACGGAGAGGAATTGTAACAGGTAAGCAGTTTCCTTCTCTCTCCTGCCGCGCGTTCGCCGTGCTAACTTGACACTTGTAGCCCTCGACTTCGCCTTTCTCCTCCCTCGACTCAACCAACGCAGACGCTATGCTACACCGACGACGAGTGAACGAAAGGAGAGAGAAGGGACATGCCTGGTAAGTAGTTTTCTTCCCTCTCTAGTCGCGCGTGCACATATCAACTTACCACTTTTAGCGATCAACCTTCCCCTACGACTC